GATGTCCTTTTATCATTTTGAAAATTAAATTTTCTTCTATACCTAGACATTTTTGTTCATCTCTGTCATCATTTTCATCAAGAACTCTCTGTAATTGAATATAAAACGGTTCCCAATCGTGCGCCATTGTTAAATGACACTTCTCACAAATTTTTACCACGCTTGCATTGAAGAATCGGTCATTTTCTAAACCGTAAAGTAAAAAAAATGAAGTTCTCGTCATGACGCACGCAATGCGTCAGCAATGAGAAATAAACGACGAACACTGGCCGAGAATTCCTCAGGATATTTTTCCCCAACAAATTGTGGCTCTGATCGAAATTTCTGATAACACGTTTTGGCTTACATGTGTGTGTAAACAGTGTAAAGTCAAAAAACATGAGAAATAAAACTTAATTTCTAAGCATTTTCTACTTTTTTGTGTACACATTAAGTTCCTGTTGCCAACTCTATCGTATTGCTTTGGCTAAAAAGAAAATTGAACTAGGAGATGTTTGTTTACATGTACATACTATGTACAAGTATTCTAATATATTATCGTATATTCTCTCAGGGTTTGGTGATGCGTCTCTATATAAAAGTTGACAAAATATCAGCCCTAACATTCTTCAAAGAAACAATGTAATTTATTTGATTAATGCATTTCTTTGGGCATGAGAAATCGCAATTCAAAACGCATGGCAGAAAAGACAAATTTTGGGGTGCGTAAACCACAAGCGCATGGTTGGATATCAGACCAAAGTGGATCCTATTATCAAAAGTTTACACAGAACGAAGACATATTTAGATTTAGATTATACATATTATACATATTAGTGGTGGCTCGTGTGTAGGTTGCACAAGCCCCACATAATCGAAAAAATTCTTATAATACGTTGGGAGCATACATTTTTCATTTTAATTCCATGACATTCAATGTTCAAGATATTGCATCAATATTGATGTAAATGAAATGAAAGTTTGCTCGACAATCTATCCTAATATTTGACATAGGGCCTTTGGGTTGTACTCACACAGCAACGAGAATCGACTCCGGTTATAGAGAACTCGGATATAGTGAACTAAAGTCACTGGTCCCGTTTCACTTACATTAAAAATAAGCATAAGAAGAGTCGGTTACAGTGAACCAGAACCCCGTCTATAGTGAACGTAGGAAATACATCCTGGAAATTAATTCCTTCATGGAAAAGAATATATCACCTCGGTGCCACAAATTCCAACATCAAGCAGCATAAAAACAAAGTCGTCGGCCAAAGGTCCTATCAGAAGAAGTCTCCCCTGAGGTGAAGGTAGGGGTCAGGGGATGGACACCATACTGATGACCTTATGCCACTGAGTTTCACTGCGGAAACAAAGGCAGTGTCTTGCGTGGGCTACAACTGGCGGCGGCGGCGGCGCGCGATTGCTTTCTTCAGTTTCAATTTTTGTGTAACTTGAGATTCCGCGGGACAAAGCACGTTGAGTTCTATGTCGGCGACAGGAAGCACGCGACTACCATAACCTGGTGATATCCCTCAGTCGTGCCGCGCTGAAAAGCGATCAGTTTCACTAGCCAATGCTATTCTAGCAATTCTATGCTAGCAATTCCGCTACCGAAAGCATCTCGTATGTTATGAGGCGAGTGAAAGGGTTTTCGAACGATATGCCAACAGACAAGAGGTATTGGAGTCCAGACTGCTTGACGATATTAAGAGACAGTGAACAAGGCAGAATCAAGTATGGAGAGAGTACGAATTCTGGAGAAGGATATAGAGAAATCACTTATGAAAAAGTACGAAGCAAACAATTGAAAATTATTTATTTTCAAGGACAAATAAAGATATTTGAATTTTCAATTCGTGGTGTCAATTTGTTTTGCTGTATCTCTATACTAATCAAATCAATCGTTATGAAGAAATTCTGTTTCATTTTGACATCATCGGATAGAGTGAACCAAAAATGTTGGTCCCCAGAAGTTCACTATGCCCCAACGAGCTATAACATATTACATATAGGGGATGAAGCGCCTCCATCTTTGAAGCGATGTTTGTTGCAGTCAAAGCAGCGCCCTCTGGGAAACAAAGTATTCTAGCATTACTAGAATCTAGAGCTGAAGCTAGAACCTAGCGATTACTAGCTCTGGCTACGGACGATTACACCCAGGTTACTCCGCCACTCGTATGTTTTGACTTCAAAAAACACGGCGTCCACTAGTTCGGCGTGCGCCATCAAGAGCGCTGAAACTATAGGGACTATGTAGTATATTCTAGCACTTTGCTATAACCGGAGTCGACAGTACTCTACCAACGAGCCACCCGCACAGATCGCACAGCGTAGAGCGCTGACGCGGCAACTGGTAAACAATTGTATGTGACGAAAGGAGGAAAAGATTATCTGCGCACGTTTTTTTGAATTCCAGAATCCCTTCCCGTCATTTTAACTACAATTGTTTAAAGATGATTAAAAGTTTAAAATAAAAAAGTTAATTTAAAAAGCGCGGGATTAGTAATATTTGGGGAAAAACTAAACATTTTCGTTCCCTAGTTATAGAAAACTTATTTGCATCGGTAAGCAAATTGCAAGTATGATTTTTCGGGCACTCTGTAATTGCGCGAAATGTCACCAGAGAGTATATTACCTCTACTCTTACCATTACAAGCAAACGGAGAGTTCAACAAAACGTGCGCATAGTGAAGCTACATTTACGTCCATTGAAAGTATATTAGTTCAGTCAATTAGTGAATGTCACAGCGGCCCATGATTACTCGTTTGGCGCTTAGAGAGAGAAACCTTACTCCGTCAATACTTTTGAGTCGTCCACACTCCAATACGTGGAAGTCGCCGTAGCTTGTTCAGCGGAGTACGAAAAAGACGACCTGTCACACGCCTCTGGAGAACAGTCGAAGACATTTTCCGTACGTAACACTGAGCTGAAATATAGCGAGATTCGGGATTCCCATTTGTTAACTAATAGGCCAAGGACAGCGCGCTGTTATTTTCTCGATACATTTTAGACGTTTCTACAAGTTTTTCTCGTGTTTATTATTTTTATTTTTCCTGCACTTTTACAATTTTTTCTCTGTGCCTCTTTATTTGGAGGGCGAGCTTACCCCCCCCCCTCGATCCGCTCTGCAATTACATTAGTAACATATCCAACTTACATCTGGATTTATTTTGATAAAAAAATATTACGTCGTTTTTCCTTGCATTTAGTGCATTTTCAAAACATTTAAAGTATATTTTATTGATCATTTTTGGTGAGGATTTAGGTCATTAAAATCCGCCCTGTAGTTATATTTCACTATCCTAGAGATACTACGCCCGACTGTGAGTCGAGGGTGGTCGGTACATTATGATAGTTTTTTTATTCAAAATGTGTCATATTGCAGATTATGAAGAATAATGCAGAATAAACTCAGCTCATGTTGCGATACGATGTTATTCGTTTTAATGATTATCCGCAAAAAGAGAGAATAGACGGAATAGAGAGAACGTTATGTATAATACTACGCGAAAAAAGGGCAAATTTTTGGAAAAAAAACTTGTATTACAGAGCCCCAGTAACGAAAAAGTGAATAAATCCAGTTTCAAAATTTAGAAAAAAATTCTCCAACACCCAGAATCTGTTTTGTTGGTCCTTGAAACCGAAATATTGAATGACCCATTCTGCCCATGCTTAGTGCTGGCTCTGTCATTAACTATGTATACATTTCCAGTACCATGCAAATCTATTACATTTCAAACCATTACTTTTGGCAGCCACTTTGCAGGAGATATTATAAATCATTAAATAAAGGAAAAAATATTTAGTCTAATAATTGGTTTACCTCTGTATATTCACGGACATATTCTTTGCATCTACTGCTTATTAGCCAAGGAACCCAAACCAAAATGTTTGCACGTGCCGAAAGAGAGAGAAACTCAAATGTATAGCTTCATAAAACGAGAAATGCAATATGAAAATTAATACAAATTGTTTCAGATATTTTGTTAGTGCTGGAGGAGAGAATCAATCTAGAGGATGAATACAACAGGAGAGAGACTAGAAAGAAACAATGGAACACGTGAAGCTGAAATTTGTAGTGGCAAAAACCAACACAATTGTAAGGAATAAAAAAAATAGTGATAGCTCAAGCAAAAAATATTTAACATTCTCAACAATTTTTTAGCCAATAAAACAATTTGAAATTCTATTTTGAATAGAAAGAATTTCTTAAAATGGGCTAACGATCTCAAGATGGCTTCTTCAATATTAGGTTATCTTATATTCGGAAAAATTAAGTAATACATACTTGTATACATACAAACTTCGCTCAATACATGTTTCTAAAAAGACAAAAAATAGGAGGTACATTGCAATACGAGAAGAGACTTCTAATAAATTACACACCTTTGGATTTTAAGTACATGATAAGGGTCACAAATTGTCATAAGATTTAATCAGAAGGCTCCTGTAGAAATCAAATTTAAACTTTTTAAGGTAACAATTCAGAGTTCTTTAGATTACAAATATATGACTAATATCATGAAATATTAAAATGAACTAGAAAATTTTAAAACTTAAAAAAATTAATATTTTAGAAAAATAAATTGAAAATCAATGATTCATTCATTCATCTTGCACTTATAGTTATGACTACTTTTGACCAATGTAGAGCAAAAAACCACCATGGTTAAAGTTTGTAAACCAAGGCATTAGCCATAGTTTATAATTATAACCAAGACTGTTATTCACAGTATCAAGCATGTGGCATTCAATTCTTTTTGTAATACCAGATTTGAATATTCTTAACCAGAGGACTATTAAAACTCATAATGGAAGCTAGTTTTTAAGAGTGGTTTTTAATTCCCGTTTGGTTGGGTTAAGCGGATATAACAGCACACTATTTACAAAAAAAGATTTCAGACTGTTTCTGTTGTTGTGGTTGTTAAATCAAAAGCCTTTAAAACTTTCTTCAGGAAACACCTGAAGAAAGTTTAATGTCCTTTTATAAAAATATATCTCAACCAGTATTGAAAACCTTTTCCATTTACAAATATTTATTGCATCATTGGAATGTTAAATACTTACAGCAAATTTTACAAAAGAAATAAAAAAAACAAAATGGAACATCAATTATATTTTTTATTTTGTGAGAATCAAATCTAGCGCATTCTACAAATCTCCTCCATACAATAATATACATCTTATAAAAACAATAAAGGATTCATATTATTTACATTTTAATTGCTATTGTGAATTGTATTAAAGAAATCTATTTGGACACATAGCAACATCAAATTATAATTAATTTCCTTTAAACAACAATTTTAAAGTGACCTCTTCCCAAAATATTCAATACATTTTATGCTATGGAATCAGAACTTCTGAGAATTGTTGCCTCTAATGAATATCAGATCACAGAACACAAACAAAAACTATTATTTCTCACTTGCCCATCAGCACATTGCTTTAATCACAGAAAAAATCTCTTAGAAATGCCTGATAACAAACATCTCACATGAAAGGCACAATATGGAAATATGAAATAGTTGTTCTTAGGGTCTAGTAATGCACTCAAAATTAGATATTTGTCAAAGAAAGATGGCAATTCATATAAAAGAATAAAATGTGTGTTGCAAAACTAATACATCTCTTCAATATATAATATTGTCCTTGGCTTGCATTACACATCCATTCAACACACCCAATACAGAAATTAAATTTTAAGAAATTCACCCATTCTGACAGATATCTGAAGTGTGCAAGAATCAATCATCCATTCAAACTTTCACATTTATCCAGAAGAGTAAAAGGAATAATCAAATCACCAGTGGCAGTGAACTCTCATAATACTCATAACATATATTTTATACAGTACAAAATTACAAGGCAATATTTACAATTACTTCAGGTGAAAATATATATTTACATTATTTCCCTTGGTGGATATGAATAATTGGAATCTCGGGCATTTCTAAGACAAACCCAATATGCATTAGATGTTTGTTAACATTTTGAGCTTGGTGAATGAAATATCTTGAACACCTTCATATTAATATGATAATTTAAAATATTGCATAGTTTAACAATATGTAAGAATCTTTTACATATTCCCAACATACTTATATCTTTCTCTCATTTCTTGGCTAACTTATCATGGGATATACTTTACAAAATGATAAAAAATAAATAGGTAAGGCAACATGGGCTTTGATTCTTTAAGACAATGCTTATTCCTTGATATTTACCCATCTTCCCACCAGATAATAAATAGAAATTATTATTCTGTATCTTTATAGTAAAATCTCAAGCACTACATTCTGATTGAAATAAATAACAGGTTTGACATTTTCAGAACCACCATTCAAAACAGTAAATTTAACATCTAAGGGGTATGATTGGTGGTTTCTACAGAAATACCTCTGCATCTTACAAATGCCAATTACATACTTATTTTAACCAGTCAATAGCAGCCTTTTCAAATAAATATTAACAACAGTCACCTATCAATGGAAGAAGACTGTTGCAATTATCGCATAACAATCACAAAGTAAAATAACAATGTGCAAAATATATATATAAGATTACAGAATTAACAGAAATGAACTTGAAATGATCTAAGAGTATTTGTACAAAATGAAATAAAATTACTTTTCTACATGCATTCAAAGCTGCTGAGTGTGCTCTACAAAAAAGAAAGTTATATACTTCATGTATTACCAAGAAAACTGTAACCAATATTTAGATAAAGGCAATGTTGTCAATATCTAAAAATTATAAAATTGTTTCACATCCAACTAAGGAGAAATGTAGAAATATTACTCTACAGCAAACCCACATGTTTCCTCCACAGCCTGAGTGAGTTTCTCATACATTCTTTGATATGATTCATATTGAGGAATATCAATTCTATTAAAACAAGTATGCGCTTTTGGAAGGTTCTCAACAGGTGCATCAATAACATGAATTGTAAAAAGTCTTGGTCCTGCTGCTCCTGTTGACCCTGAAAATTAAATATTTGTTATGATCACTAGTACATAAACATTATCTTTTCTTAATATAAAAAAAACTCTTGCATTAGATGTACCAAAAAATTAACCAAATTTCAATTATTTCATTTTCTAAAAATCTATATAAGCTCAGTAATTTCCTCAATAAATTCTGTCAATAATCTAGCTCAATCAGAATATTATGACATTTTCCACTTTTGTGTAATAGTATTCATTTATCTTTTATTTTAAATTTTCAGATACTCAACAATTTATTAAGGAAATTTCACAATGATTGTGTAGAAATTGCAATTTTACTAAACACATGTAATAATAAATAAATCAACCGGATATGCTAAGAAAGAAGTCTTGAAAAAAGCCACAACTCATTGACTCCCTTGTGTATCTTTATAATAAGAACCACAAGTTCATGGTAACTCAATTACGGATCACAGAAAAATTCAAGGTTCACCAGAGATAGAGTTAACAAATACAATCTAGTTATTGTAAAATAAATGTTAAGTCAATGTAATGAAAAAATCTTTTAAGCAGTATTTTCAATTCGGGCAGAACAAAGATTTCTTGAAAGAACATTATTTTTATGATAAGTAGCCAATGAATATAGAAAAGAAAAACAACAGTAATGGTTGTTATATATTAGTTTGTCAGTTAAATAAATTTTAAAACTTTAGTAGTTGGAATTGCATTTTAGAAAACTTACACAAAAAAAACATAACCACCTCAACCAATGAGATTTTTACTAGATAATTCACAAGTTCATATATTAGAAGATAATTCACTAACATTTTTCAGCAAATCAATATAGTAGTTTCCATACAACAGTTTCAGGCAATAAATAATAGAAGTATATATTTGCACAATATATAACACTTACCCTGCAATGCTTTGAAACCTTGAAGAGGCACTCGTGAGCTGCCTGTGACAAATTGCAGCAACCTTGCTCTCATTTCTTCACTGTATTCTTCCACAATTTGCCAGAACCATTTTACCACAGGTGTATCAGTTGTACAATGCTGGAAACCCACACATAAAACATACAATTATCACGTAAATCATTAACATCTTCATGTTTAATTTTATTAATTTCAATAGCTGTACCTTAAGCCTTGTATTATTTCTCCAGTCTGCAATATCTATTGAACCCAAACCTCCTATAACTAGTTCTATTTCACGTTCATCAAAAGGGCGAAGAAGATGGCTAGGTATTAACTCAGTAAATCCTTTTTGTAGAGCTAGAAATTGTTGTTCTATCCCTCGCATGAATCGGTAATTTACATACAATCTAAAGAAAAACAATGTCATATACATATTGATGCAAAACTACATACAGAATAATGCACACACAGCAAATTAAGCAAAATATTACATATGACAACAGAGATTTAACAGAATATAATTTTACATGTTTCAACCCACATACCTTACATATTCTTTTTTATTGTCTTCAGTAACAACAATTTCCCTTCCTCCTGGCTTTAGTTCATGAACCCGCAACACCCCAAAACTATTGTGCTCCACTGAAAAGGTGGTATCAATAATACCAGTAACTGTGTTTTCTCTGAAAAAATGCCACACATAAAAATTGATCCAACGTGTAAAAATTTATTAAATTCCTAATGAAAGCACAAGAAAAAGAATAGGAAAAAAAAAAACAACTAATATTAATTTAAAAAACAGGAATCATCAATTAAAAATAATTAATCTGAACATATACAAGAATATTTTCCTTTCTAGTAATTATAAATTTAATGGAAATCAGTTTGAAGAAATTCACAAATACAGTTAAATCAACTTACAACATCCATGTAAGACTACGATGCAATTCAGGATCCACACCTTCAATATCAGTTAAAGTAATTGGTTTATTAAGCAGCATTTTATAAAAAGGCATAGTAAATCCACCATCTATATAGTGACCATGAAAGACAGCAATTCCAATGATTCTTCCAACAAAATGAAAATAGGACAAGTGCTCCTGTGAAAATACAAAAATCTGTTCTGAGAAGCACATTCAATAACCTTTAATAGCACGATATGTGCATAAAAAATATTTACTCACAGGGTTCACACTACTGTCAGTGTTTATTTGTAAAGTGTAATTGTCTTCACGAGAATACTGAAAGAGGCCATACTGAGGATTAAGCATTTCATGGGACAACAAATAAAGCCATTCTCTAGCCACACCCCCATAATCAAGTCCCTCTTCCCCTCGAAATTTCACCATTAAACGTTTCCGCATATCTTTTGGTCTCATCTTCATTACCAATCGATACGATTCCTAGAAAATGCACAAATTATCACAAAAATGTCACAGTTGTGTATATGATTCATAAGAGTAAAGTGTTTTCATGTACCTCAAAAATCTCGCTTCTTGACACCTCGAGCCTGCAATGGCCACTCTGTGGCTGTAATGCCTGCAACTCTGCACGTAAAACCATTTGTTTAGCAACAAGGTCACGCTTATACTTTGGCAATGATTCACTTTCAAGAAGATCCTTCGGTAATTCTGCAGTTCGCACAGCAGGAGCAGGAGTATTGTTTCTAACAGGTTCACTATTATTGACAGTAGTAACACTTGAATCGCCATTAACAGCATGCACTGCACTGGAACTTGCAGATGCTGATGATGACGGCTGACTATTTGGAACAGTTTCCGGGTTATTCGTTCCACCTCTAACTGGGGTATTACTAGATGTAGTCGGGGAGTTTCTACTAGATTGTGATGGATGAGAAGGAGTAGATCCATTCTGATTGTGTTTCCTGAAGGACGAAAATATGAGTAATGCACTAATAAAACCAATCAAAATTGTACAACATTTGACTGATAGATAATGGCATTTTCAAATCAGTGAATAGAAAAAAAATCATAATGCAAAACAAAAGGCAGACAAAGCAAACTGAATTCTTGGTGTAAAATAAACAGAAAATGCTCACTTTTTAATTTACAACTGATCATATTAATAGAAGGTACTTTAGCATATTGCAGAAAAGTTTAAGAGGAAAAACAGAAAAGCTTAAGGAACACTCTTTATAAGATGGCCATCAAATGTGAAGTAGTGAAAATCCTAAATAACTCTAAATAAGAAAATAAGCAAAAAAAAGTTTGGGCCCTCCCATTCATGGCAAGACACTTCTTCATACATCTCAATACATGAAATTCAACAAATGAGGTCATACTAGTTTTTTAAAAGGAGAAGCAATAACATTCACCTTTTCCCCAGGGAAGAAAATGTTTAACAAAATACATTTTAAGTATAGATGATTGATTATCAGAATAACTACATTAAATATAAATAGCGCTGCAATTAGTTAATTAGTTTCTTAATATGGACTTACAAAATTCATTGTACTATTACACAACACAGAACTAAAATTTGATTTCAAAATTTTAAATTCTCTTAATAGCACTTCATTTTGATTTTCATAAACTAATTTCTTTCAAACAAAACATATATGGATCTTATAGTCTATTGCAGATTTCCTTTGGCTCCAAATGATTACAAATATTAATTAAATATCAAGTCACACCTATAAAATTAGTTTACTAATTACACTGCACATGGAGTAGAAAATTTGGAGAATTTTTTAACGGGGAGGGGGGGGGTGAAGCCATTAAAGGACTTGCTCAATCTTTGTAACTGTACCTGTGAAATGAATGAATGATTAAACATCAATACAACAAATACTGCACATACAAATTAATAGATCCTCAGAAAATGGAATGAAAAGGAGGACGATTCAAAATGTAAGGGTAATGCAGAATACAAAAAAGATTTTAAGCAAGGGGACAGAACAAAAAAAACTAGTAACTTGAGACTGGCGGATTCCTTCTGTCACCTTCCTACCAAACAAGCTACTTTTATCATATTTAAAAAGTAAGAAAAGAAAAATGAAAGATAAAAAGAAGTAAATGGGAAAAGAAAATCAAAATGTAAACTCAAACCTTTAAAAATTCTACTTACTTCAGCAAGTTGGAAATTACACTACTTGACAACCTAGGATCAGTGAACTGTGTGGTTCGGTTATTGTGGTCCACAAAATAAATCCTCCCAGATCCAGTTTGCCTCATTTCCCATCCCGGAGGCAACGGGCCAAGGTCAGTCCCGAAGTTATTGGACCCAACCAGCAAGTCCCTTGGAATACGAGGATCATGCCACGTGCTCACACCGCTAGGTATGTGGTAGAAGTAAACTTGTCCTTGTTGGGTAGTGCGCAACTCTACACAGAGACAAGAAAATATTTTAACAAGACTTGTTTATAAAATGTCCAATAATTACAGCCTGTATTCAGCATGTCCACAAAAACAATTAAATTACAATTTATTCCATCATCATTATAATTATCATAGTCGTCATCATCATCGTCGTCGTCGTCATCATTACTATTCAATAACGTTTACCATAGCCATGTGGTAAATCTCCAGGTTGCTGTAACTGTGGAGCTCGAGATGAACTTGCTGCTTGTTGCAGATTTTGTTGAGCTCCTGTCAACTGTTGGCTGTTACGATGCCTTCCAGATCGACGTCGGGTAGAGGAACCTTGGCCACTTATGTTATCTCTGCCACTGCTGTTACCATTTTGACCCTGCTCACTAGGAAGACTGCTCCGTTCATCTTGAGTCCTGCGCAAACAAAATTCATAGCAGCATTTACAACACTCAAGTCAATTATTTTATCACCTGAATAATTTATTATTGTTCACAATGATAAAAATACCTTGAATTGTTGATATGATTTCTATCAGAATTTGCATTATTTCCACTTCTCGGCGTGCTACATCCATTTTGATCAGTTACACTAGGTAAAAGTGGATTACTATTGACACCATTTCGTGATCTGAAAAAGTTATTCAAATGTATACATTAAAAGACTAATATATTAATATAATTTACAGGAACAAAATCATTTTGGTAATAAAAATGAAATTATGTCACTCCAATTAAATGCTGGGAAATAGTAGGCAAATTATACAGGGTGAGTTACGTAACTTTAGCATCTTCTATAACTTTTGAACGGTTGAAGTTGTTTGCAATGCAGTTTTCACGGAAGTGCATGAGGAAATGGGGCTAATTGATACTTATAATCATTTCTATTTTATCACTTGTATTTTAAGAGATATTTAAGGTAACTTTTTTTTAATGGAACTCTACATATTTTTTCAGTCTATCATGACTAGCTTAAAAAGACAAATCCAATGATATACTCATTTTCATATGTTAGATAAGCAATTTTTTGAGTAATTTTGATTTTTTTGTGATTAGTATTTAATGGATAATTACAAAGTAACAGTTCGCCACACAAGGTCACATAGTGGTCCCCCTGCCAGCATGAGCTCAAGGAAGGGATGGGGTCTTAATATTGAAAGATACACAACACACATATTCCAAATATTCACAAAACTGATGCAGTGTGTTCAGTTTCAAGATCTCATTAATATCCTGTGGTATGACACCCCTTTAAATGAAGTTGAAATAACAAACAATCTTATTTCAATACACACAACCCCATATTTTCAATCCTTAAAATATACACAAAACATTGAAGTTGCAAAATGTTGAAGGATGGAAAGCAGAGATCAGGAAAAAAAAAACTGCAACAGATTTGTGAATATTTGGGACATGTTTCGTATCTTCAAATACCAAGAACCCTTCCCTTCCCCCAGCACAATGGCAAAGGGAGCGCAATGTGACCTTGTGAGGCAGAATTATATTCAAAATCCGTGAAACACTAGTTGCAACAAAAAAAAGAGGCTTATCTAACATAAAACAATATGTATATCATTAGATTTGTCTTTTGTAGATTGAAAAAACAAAGCTGCCTCAAATATCTCATAAAATACAAGCGATAAAATAGAAATGAAAACAAGAATGAATTAGACCCATTCTTTCATGCGCTTTGGTGAAAACTGCATTGCAATAATTTCAATCGTTCAAAAGTTACAGGAGGTGCTAAAGTTATGTGAATCACCTCGTATTTCGTAAGTAACCTCTCTCGTTTTGGCTCTTTTTTATTTTTGTGTCATGGGCAATGAATTAGAACATTCTGATGAAAATTATCATCAACATTGCACCAGATTTCAACAAGTTCTAGTATCAAGAAATTCAATGCTCTGATCATGAAAATCACCTTGTAATTTAAAACACTGAAAATGTTCCCATGCACTAACAAAATTTCCCTACATATTAATTTAAATTGCATAAAGCTACAGAAGATCCCTAATTTACAAGCCTGGAATTCATATTTTCTCATTTTTAAACATTTTTATCAGCCCCACAATTTCTTCAAGTCCACAATAAGAAATTATCCCACTTTTGCACTTTCCAAATTAAAATTTTCTGCTTTTATATTTTTTTAAAAATGTAATTGGTTTGGTTATTTGCATGTAGCACTCAAAATACTCTTGCATTTGTAATTGTGTAACACAGTTATTCTACAAATTGTCTCTGTTCCTCTAGGCTGGCCATTTCTAATTTAGAAAAGAACTTTTAATTTATATCAAATTAGAAAATGTTTTGCAGGTTGCCAACATTTTAGCAAAATGTTTCACCCGTGAATCACCAATGAAATGTAACTAGACAAACGCTGACTTTATTTCGTTTCACCATTATACCAGCAAATCTAATTTTTGAAAAAAAACAACAACCTTTTCTATTATTCTCTTATATACAACCAACTCTATTCCCCTTCCCTAAAAAGTATACCCCTTTACTTCGTCGCTTGAAAGTGTGAAAGAGATTCTACTGTATATTCACAAAGGCCAATTCCAAAAATAATTTATACACCTCAATTGGAGACATAAATATTGCCAAAAATATATTTGTTACAGCATTCAACAGCACATTTATATTATCGATCAACTACAAATTATACACCATTAGTAAGTTGGCACCTCTTTAGTCCAATTGTATTTAACTTCAAAAACATCAACAGAAGAAACATCACAAAAATTTGTAAAGTTAATCTCAATCCATTAATATGAGCATGCCATAATATGTGGTAAATTTAAGGATTAGGTTTTTGGCCTAGTCACAAGTTGAAGCGAGGCATGAGTGAGAACACTTGTCTTTGAAAGTAATTTGGCATAGCAACGCAGTGGGGACAAGGCTTATGAAGGGCCAACCATTCAAATCACCTATCTGTAAGTTTTATTAACTTCTATCAGAGCGTGTAGCATAATTTGAGGGAGGGCTTAAGGAGACTTGCTGCCTCCTCCTCTTCCGCTGCCCCCCCCGGTTGCCACACTTTAAGGATGTACCCTGTATCCTAACTGTTAACAATCCCCCGTTAACTTTCTTACCCCCCCATCATTGACCTCCCACATTTGTGTCCTATAGGTATTGGTATGGCATGGGTATGCAACTGTTAAGGTTTCAACCAAAACTTTCGTACACAGTAAATTCAAATTCAGCACACAAAAGAAAATAATATGTTCATCTGCATAATGTTCAGCATGTTTCACAATTCTTTAAAAAAACAAAGAATGTTATCTATGACAAACCAGACAGAATAAGAACATATTTTTATACATTTTCAATAATTCAAATTACAGTAGATAACTTTAAAGATAAGATTTTACTATTGTAAGCAAACCTTAACTTTCTTTTAGTGAAGTGACAAAACAATCAATTCTGAATATCACCCATAATATCCAGCCAATTTCAATTTCAACGATTTAAGTAGCCAGTATGGAGACTTGCAGAACAACATTCACTCGAGTATCATCATTTTCTAATTTTATAGTTAAATAATTAACATATTGAGTTTAAAAAATCTGAACAAAAATTCCCCATAATACATCTAATAGAAAGGACAAAATATTTCAACAACTACAGGAACTCATTTGTCAAGAAATTTCTACAAAATTAAATTTATTATTCAAAAGATGCACGAACACAATCTGTTTCTTTACCACACAATTATTACCAAAACTTGTGTAATTACTACATGAATTACTTACCTTGTTGGCCTCACCCATTGTGTTGTACGAGTAATGTGGTTTACATAATACAGACGACCAGTCACAGTTTGTCTTTCCTCCCAGCCTTCTGGCAACTCATCTGGACAGCTCACTTCTCCATGAGGATCAACAACAGCATTGAGACTTCCTGTGCCTCCATGACCATCTCGTGACAGGAGAGAAACAACTATCTGTCCCTTTACTGGATCTGGATCATCCGAACTCAATTTGCATAAATCTAACCTTTGGTCTGAAAGAAAGCATCACTTTATGTAGATGTTCCAAAACGGAAGTCCATTGTTTTGCCCACTGCCCACATCCCTACATCTGTTTTCCTTACATTTTCTCCTAGGTTCTAGAGTTAAATTCTACAAATCAGGCCATGGCAAAATTAAAACGGTGTGATCCATTTAATAAATATTCTCCAAATCTTGATTTAGAAAGTGCATTAACAAGTATTATGACATTTAATATTTCAAACAATTTTCATCACTGTTAAGAAAAGTCTTCTTCGAACATGTGCAAAACTGACCTACCACATGTAAATAATTAAAAAAAGATGAGGATTAAAAAATTCTGAGCAATTCAAATGACTACCTGTCCATTCAACTCCTAATCAATTTTTAATGGAAACCAATGTCAAGTTTCCTTTAATGAAGCATCATAACATTTCATTACAGTGTTACCACTTAACAAATAAAATAAAAAAAAGGAAAAATCATTCAAATAAACACTAAAACCAAAGGCACCTCAATGTACGTACTACCAAAGCAGAAAGTGCAAATACAAAAGACTTGTAATTTCAATGAAGTAACTTCAATTACTCACATCCTGTGTCTTTGAGGCGCTGAATAGTGTTGGACATTATACGAACACATCCTAAAAATCCACCACCTTGCTTCTTATGAATTTTTCTGTGATTCCAAACACTAATAGTGATTCCATCACCTTTTCCAATGTATCTGAAATAATAAAAAATAAATTCTACAGTATGTAATAAGTTTTCATTATTTTGAATAACATTATTCATACACATTTTCTGATTATCTACCGTTTGGCATCTTCGCAAATGAGAGAAACAACACATCAATCAAGATGGATGACATTTCGCATTTGTTCAAAAACATTTCACATCATAAACCCACACTTTGTATAATTATATGAGAAGCTTTTAAATTAAATTATCAATAATATTTCTTTAAAGCACTTAAACTTGAGGCAAAAATATACTTTCCTCTACTGTAACATTCTCAGTATCTTTACTTACAAATAAAATACTTGAACCTCATACATTACAAGAAAGATTGCACATTAAAATGAAAACTAAAACAAAGCAACTCAGATGTTTGAAGAAAATAATATTTACGAAAAGAAACTTAGTTCCAAAAAGTTTAAACAGTTAAGTCCAGACCATGATTACAAAGCTGGTACAAGTATTATAATAAATAGAAATTGAATTTCTATTCAATGTTTTATAAGTTTTATGTTCTTATAATTGGAGTATCAATATTAAAATGGAAAAAAAGAACGAAGGAAAACAAAAAACGAAATATTAGGACAAAGCAATAAAGTATAAATTCAAGCAATATAAAATTATCAAATAAGTAATTCTAATAATCTTAATTTAATACTTCTTAGCATTTAAAAGATAATCTTAGAAAAGCAGAAAGATTTTTCAGGAATTCTACCTTAAATATTAATAAGTATACATTAATTCCATATGTTCCAATTACTACAATATACCTATGTATATTATGATTACGTTTTGAAGTGCAGGAAATAATTATGGACACTAGTAACTATAATTCCACTATTGCATCAAATGTACTTACAAATCATAATGTTGATTCCATTTAGGATCAAGGGTTGCTTTACAAGTGTCAGTGCTGTGACATTGGCCCGACCCATCAACACTTATTTTGGCAAATGGGTCGGGCAAACCTAAATCATGAACAGAAAGATTTAATACACGGGAATAAAACAATACTCTTCGTGCATAATTACGAAAGAAACAAAAAGAAGTACTTACGAAACAGATCTTTGCGAGCTAAATTCCTGGCACATATAACTGAAAAGACAAAAATAACACTAGAGTTAGAAGTCTGTAGTCTCCAATTCCATATCGTTTACAAATTAAACAATTATAATTGATTAAATAATAGTTTTTTTAAGTACAAATCCCATCTGCCAACGACGCAGCCATATTGGATAAGTTTCGGTATAAACATTCTTTTATTTCAGTATTTACTATTCACAAAGGAGTTTATGAGAAAAACTTACTTGTCAAACGTATTTTCATAGCTCCATGTCTCCTGCTGCCCCCTGAGTTGGACATATTTCAGCACCATTGAAAGCTTTTCATCACCCCGAACATACACCCACAAACCACACCAACTGATGCTCACTTTCCTCACTCACCCATGTCAACCAACGTTGAAACCATCGGAAACCAAAAGCAACCAACACATCCTTAACGAAAACAAAACACTTTCGCTCTTAGACATTCATTTTGTGTACTGCCAACTAAAAGTGACACTAAGAAATTCTTAACATTTTGTTATTGTTGATATATACTCTGTTTTGTTCATGCATGTCAGCATGAGGATGAAACTAGTGTACACCATATTACGAACTTTCTCATATTATTTTGTAGCGGTTCAATAAAGTGAAAATTTTATTGCTAATAATGCGCTTCTAATGTTTCAACAATTGTGTGCAAATCTCTTCACTAAACTGCTTGAAACCCAGCACATTACGTTAATTATGTAGTATGCCCACCTACCTAAAACACGAGTAGAACTTACTTTTTTGTGGTTAACAGAGCAAATAATGAGCGTGGCAGCGCTGAATCTGTTTATCAGACTTTTTTGGTTCTTTCCTTGTAATATTATAGTGTATTGATATTATACCTAATGTAGTAGTAATGTAGTATGGGAAAATCATGATTTGATAATATTTACGTTTTTTTACGTCACTAAACACGAGCTTACCTCCATAGCAATTCAACCATCGAAACAACCCAGCCATAGCAACGACCGTTAAAATGCTCAGAGTCCTTTAAAAGTATTTTAGCGGACTCTGGGGTTTAAATTTTACCGGTGCTCATACATCTTTGGATAAATATCCCTTTTGTCTCATTTCGTCCATTTTGTTCCCCATGTCTAACTTGCCATCTTGGCTTATTTTACCCCTTGTCCCATTCTGTCCCCTGTACTAATTGTCTTCCTGTGCTATTGATTCAATTGTCCTGTTGATCCATTTTGTCCCATTGATCTCACACTTTGTCCTCCTTTGTCCCATTATTTCCCATGCCCACTTCGTCCTCCTTTCCCCACATGGTCCCCCTCAATCCTTTGGTTCCTTGCGCGCACTGCCATTGTTATTTAAAAACGGTACCAAAACTGCACCAATAACTCTAGCTACAGAACTTCGAGAGTAATAACAATTCTTAAGTCATGAAAGTGTTAAATGTTTATTTTGAATAAATAAAAATAACAACAAAAAAAACATTGCACGTAACACGTCCTCTACTAGTCTTTAAGGACTTGTTACATAACTATAATTACGTTGGGCTACAGAGCCCTTTCCGAAATGTTTAGACCTATTCGTAAGATCTGTGCCAGATTCAGAATATGCCATTTTTATTCGAGCAAGCTTGATTAAACACAATGTGTTGGTTTTTTAATACATGAAATTTATTTTATTTTCCATAGAATTTTTGGGTATCACAAAATCAAAATGTTTGTGCTACAAATGGCACACACTTTCCCGAATTGTTTTTCTATTTCTTTTGGTCTCGGCAAGCTATTTGGACTTGCCAGCTGCCATCTATCGACGCCCACTTCTCGATTTTTCGGTTTCCTAATAGTATACCGAAAATATAATTTTTAGAATATTAAAAAGCAGTAAAACCTCGTCCTAAATGGCAATTTTCTTTATGTTTCTATATTTCGTGTTTAAGAAAAAGGCATGTAAGCGCTACTGTAAATTCGAAATTTGAAACTCATTTGTACAGAAAGTTTTTGAGTTTTCGAAAAACTTTATTAGAAGTAATTTAACGAACTTTAACTTACAAATACAATAGTGTTTACAAATTGGTGGAAACGTGCATATTAACGGCGTAAGTGATCTTTCAAAAATTACATTTGTATAATTTTAGAAAGAAAAAAAAAGAAGAAAAAAGAACAACTTTACTTCACATTAAACAGTGTAATAAGCACTATCTCTTCGAAAAGTTTGAAGACAATATTTGGAGTCGTTTTTGAGAAGACGGCGTTTGAACGTTTTTGAAAATTCAAAATTTTGAGCTAGTTTTCATAGAAATGTTTGAGTTTTCGAGAAACTTCTTGTAAGATTATGAAAAGCACAAGAACTCATAAATATAATGCGATGAAATAGAGCTAATATAAATATTAACGACTTGAGAGACAAGTCAAAAATATTACATTTTTATATTTAAAAAACAACAACAAAAGAATAGAGTAATATGGCGTTTATGTCATCTCATAGATTTCATTTAGCACTATCATTACCAAAAGTTTATAGAAAATATTTTGAAAAATCTTGTTTCTGTATTTTTTTAATTGCACATGTGGCAAACAAAATTGCTCGACAACCACTAAAATGTTTAAAAAATGTTCATGACATAATAGAACTAAATATGGAGAACAAACATTATTTGAAGGAAAAATTCTATCTTCAATTTCGTAATTACAGGAAGACGTAGAAAAAATGCAAATTTTTGCAATTTTCGAAAATTCAACCGTGAAAATCGGGCATATTCCACTTTTATACGTGTATGGTACTCTATTCTTTCTAGATTTTTTTTAAAAATATTGGAGACGTTTTGAGGAAATTTTGAAAATGTCCGGAGCGTTCCATGTAAAGTACCCCCAATTTTAAAGGCTTTTTTTCTTCAAAATATCAAAGCTTTGACTCGAGCCAGATGGACAGGAGTTTCTTCAATTTGGAAAAACTCCTACGCATGGTTTAGGCGTGTTTACAGACGGACGTCAATTGATTTTTCGGTGTCAAAGACCTACTAAACAAGGATTCGACCACGTGTTAAAGGAATTTTTTCTTAATTTAGCAACTGGATTTATCCACTTTTTCGTTATCAGGGCCCAGCAACGATTTTTTTTTCTGACGAAAATCTTCCAATTTTTCGCGCAGCATAATATAACTCAGAGAGTAGTATAACTTTCCCTATACTACATATATTACTCTATATATACGTATGTATACAGGAAAGTAAAAAGCAAAAAAACGGTCTTGTGTTAACTAAATGGAACAGAAAATATAGAGCAACGAAACAAACAAGAAAAATTGTATGACATTTTTATCCCTACACTTGAAACAATACTGTACGGAATCTTGCATAGCAAAATAAAAAATGTTGATATTTCATGGTGTATCCTTTTCATTTTATAACAGCATGGCATCTTTGTTTCGTAGATCTGTAGGTCTAAGACGGGATGGACATCTATCTATTCTTCTGTTACTGTCTTTTCCAGATCACCTTTGCATGATTCATTCTCTTTACGAACATTCCTCTTCAAAATTGCCATCCCAAGACTAGATATTTTGCTGATATTTAAAGTTGATGCTTAATAATTGCTTCAGTAAGCTTTCTATCATTGTTATGGAACATTTAAATCGATGGCATACCCAATTTTGCACTTTGGTTCTGATTTCTTTCCGATATGTCGTGATATGCATGTTTGTCCATAATGGTTTTTATGAAATGAATATTGCCGACTCCTCTTGATGTCACACCCCTGATCACAATAGGTCCACTGCCGTGCTTCACAATGGGAAAAGTTTTCGCCACTTCATTGCCTCCACCAGAGTATTATACGGTCTCCACTCACTGTGGATGCCGTCGGAGCCAAAAACGTTATTTTATCCAGAAACTTGCGTGGATCAGTTCACAGTGTGCAAGACTTTTAGTTTCGTCATGGAGAAAATACTGATACTCATTTCGAGTATGAAATATGAGTATATCCAGAAGAGAAGAGTACAACCTCACACACGTGCTCACAACTTCACAATGGTGCACTGCATGGGAGCGCGCGCTCGACGGCATCTCTTCGATTTCAAAATATTTCATATACATCAATATTACTACTATGTCTTGAATGTCATTAAATGGAAAAAGTATATTCCTAAAATATAACAATTTTTAGATTACCTGAGGGTTACGTAACTGGCGAACCTAATCACGAGCCCGCACTGAATTTAAGATCGAAATTTCGAAATCGCTTTGGTAAAGCGATTCCAAATCTTTTCTTACATTTTTGTCAAAATCGAATTTTTCGAATTTTTTGCAGCACTACATAACATCCTTTGCGCACAAGTGTAACGGGTTCAAAATTTAGCGGGACAGACAAAAGTTTATTCAATGTTTCAAATGTGAAGTGAACGACGTTTTTATAATTCGTATAAAAATGTATTATTATTAATTATATTACTATTACTGTCCATTTTGAAAAATGCGAGACCACCCCCTCACAAGGCAGAAAGTTCTCACACTTGAAAGAGACAATTCGTTCAGTTACTGGCAGTTCAAAGCTCTACTTTCTATAGCAAATAAGTTACCGTTCCGCGGGAGTGCAATATCACTATAATTCAATTTATTCTTGGTTTCCTTTGACAGGTCATCAGCTGATACAGGATCATCCAATCACGTCGCCAGTGACGTCACTATAGTGACATTCGAGCTCTGTATTGGAATCGTTGATTAACGTCAAAGGACTTTATGTTTAAATTGAGGAATAGAAACAAACTTCGTCGCCCCCAGTAGAAACGCCGACCCCAAGAAGCTTTTGGAACGCCTTTGCGATCGCTTGCAAGACGACGTTTCGCTTCCACCGGCAGGGGAGTATTGTATATTTTTTCATACATTTCTACTTATTTCTATTAACCCAAAAGTTTTAAGACACATTTACTTATTGTATTAAAACACTTTCATGATTGTAAATATTCAATGAATCTCAATTTTTTTCAAGGGGGTGCAATTGCCCCCCTATCCTTACAGCCACTACTTATAGTACAAAAAAGTAAAAAAGTGTTTATCAAAAAAAAAAAAAAAATTCACTCAGGATATCTTTATTGACTCTCACTTCATGTGTTTTTTTTGGTAAATGATCGTAATTCAGCTTCTAATTGAGAAATTCTCTGGAACCCAAAAAAAAAATATGATTACTTAAAAGTATAGTAATGTAAGCATTTACATAATACAATCTGCTAGTTGTTTTTTTTCATTCTGTTAAATTCTCAAGAAAGTTACCTTTTGATCTTCCTCTTGCCTTCTCATAAACTTTTTTTCTGTTTCCAATAACATTTCTTTGTAACGTTCTTCCAGATTTGCCACCATTACCTCAAGTTCTTTTTGTTTATCTCGGGACAAAGAAGCAACAATTTCCGCTCGCTGAGTATGAAGCTGCAATTCAAGACCCTTCACCTACAAATAGAATCTGATTATCGCAAATCACTTTTGAGGTGCTTAAGGAACAAACAATACTTCAGCTTTAAATTACATGCCTCTAAATGTCTTTCCTT